AATCTGCAAGGGAACTTATCCAGTGCCTTCAGAAGGTTGATGGTGACAATTATCCGGAGGTATAGTGTAAATAGCTGTTTTATTTTAAGTTTGATAAGCTTCTCGGTTTGCTTCTCTTGCATCAACAATAGCTTTTGTATTCTATGATACCTATTGAGTCTTTTGTTTACCGTAGACCCTGAACCGTATGTACATCATCAACGCTGGTTCTGGATTTAGACTTATATGGAACACTCTGAAATCTTTCCTTGACCCCAGGACAACCGGAAAAATCCATGTAAGCATTTGTATTTTGTCTCCCTTATACTTCCAGTTTGAGATTGTGATGCAGTAATGGTGCTAAACGAGTTGATGACTATGTTTGTTATCAGGTTCTGGGAAACAAATACCAAAGCAAGTTGCTCGAAATAATTGATTCTAGGTAAGAATCCTTCTAGGCAAAATATTGTTGAGAATATATATTTTCTTCTATTCAAATGTTCATCTTTCTGTACATCTCTTAGTCCATATCTAGTTCAAGCTAAGCTTAGCAATCTCCTTCATTCACATTATCTGTATTATAACTTCAAATTTTCCTGTGCAGCGAGCTGCCAGAGTTTTTGGGTGGTAAGTGTACTTGTGCTGATAGGGGTGGCTGTATGCGTTCCGATAAGGGCCCATGGAATGATCCAGTCATCATGAAGGTGATTAACTACTAATTGTGTTTTTTCTTTATTTGTGTGATATCTTTACTCTGTTCTTCATAGTCTCAACTCTCGAATGTGAATAAAAAGCTCACGAAGTTGGGTATTTTGATGAACCAGATGGTTCAAAATGGTGAGGCCAAATGCAAAAGGACAGCTTTGTCAGGCATTGAGAAGGCAGGCTCAAAGGTACTCAGACCTTGGCCCAAGTTTCCCTCTTAATTTGTGTCTATGCATGGCCTCTCTTCTAATCAGTTTTTATAAATGGTCAATTGCCTGACTTCCTATTTTTTACTATATTTTCTTTCGGTATTCTACAACACGAAGAGATGTGATTCTCTCAACTCAAAAACTGTTCCAGAGGCTGACATGAAGTCTCAAGTGAAGCAGCAAAATTTATCTCCTTTGCCTGAAGATGTAAGCTTAATGAACTTCCATCCATATTTGGAAATTATTTATGACTAAAACATGGGAACTTTTTGTGATGCCTTTGTTTTCTTTGCTATTTGCTTCATCTTTGCAGGTTGTAATTACCAAGGAGTGCAATAGGACCCATGAGCATGACGACTTTATGCCAATGGTTGATAAGGCTATGGATACAACTTTCACTAAATCAATTCAATGTGATAAAACTTCCCCAAGCCAAGGTATATATAATTCTAATAAATGTAATGGCTATTCTTTCAAATGCTGATACTGAAGTATATATGTTTCTCTTCCAAAGCTACAGATAGCTTCCCTGTGCATTACGCTTGCAGGGATCTGGAAAGACTAAGCAATCAATTTGTTTCTGGAATGATGGTTTTTGTCATGGGTATTTTCACCATGGTTCGATTGGCACGAAACATGCCTAAGAAACTGGCTGAGGTTGCCCACTATGGAAGCCCTGTTTACTCCACTGGAATGGCAAATAAAGGCCACCACTTGCCTGCACCAGCCATTTCCAGCAATGCATACGTGACGATGATGAAGCGCATGTCCGAATTGGAGGAGAAAGTGAATGTTCTCAGCACAAAACCAGCACTCATGCCACCCGAGAAAGAGGAAATGCTGTACACCACTCTCAACCGAATCAACGTATTGGAACAAGATCTGCCAGCAACCAAGAAGGTAATCCATTTTTATATATATATATTGAATTCTGTTATTGAAGTTTGCACTCAAAATAATCTTGAGAAACTAAACATAAACACAAACATACTCATGCACATTTTCCTTTTGTTTCGTTTCTGCAGGCACTTGAGGACGCCCTTGTTCGGCAAGAAGAGCTTGTAGCCTACCTTGACAAGGATAAGAAGACAAGGAAATTTGTATGTGACCACCTAATATTTGCTTAACCAGTTCAAGTTATGTGCTTTAATTCGGAGATCTATATTCATGCAAGTGTTTTCACCTTCTTGCTTTTTGGACTGTAATTGCAGAGCCTATTCTGTTGTTGGTGAGGTTATCAGCGCTGGTGTTTTTCCAGGCGTAACGGGTGACCCGAAGGGGTGAGTTTGGTGGATTTGTTGATTCAGGTTTGCATGGTTCTGGGGAGGGATGAAGTGTAAATTTTTTGTCTTTGTCAGGCTATTTGCAATGACATGAATTCTACCTTGCATTGGAAAGCTTCAAGCATTGGACTGAAAACTGGAAACCTCACCGCCTCGGTTTTTTTATTTTCTTCTTAACATCAATGTAGACGCAGCTGTTGAGGGAAGGTTGCACCGAGGGGTTGGTCAAATGTTGTTAGCCACGGCAAAACCAGAGCAGGGTACTTCTCTCACCAAACACCATGGAACAAGATAACGTATTTGAAACCAATACAGTTTGCAAAAGATGCAGGTTTTTGCGATCCACATGCAGAATGCAGAAGAGGACTCTGGCTGCAAAGGAGTTTAGATAAAAATGCCAATTAAACTAGTTTGTTGTGTCAAGATCATGCCGTACACTATTCCGATGTGTTTTAGCATTCGTGTTCACACTTCGTGTCAATTTTGTGTTCATATCAAGTAATAATAAATTATAATCTGTTCATTTCGTGTTTTGTTAACCTGTTTTTGTTCATGTTTCTGGTTGTTCAGGGCTTCTGCAACAACCTTTTTATATTGGTTTTTTTCATTTTTATTGATTTTGAATTATAGTTATTTGCATTAGAAAAACCTACGGTACTTTTATCTATAGTGCTCCTGCAACAACCATTAAAAGTCTTTAAGCTCCTATCTTTAGCTCCCCAAAAACTGGGGAGAGCATATTGAAGTCTTCCCAAAGGTAAAAACTGACGATTTCCGAAGGTCGCTGCTTCATTCTTATTTCCTGCATCTCATGGCGAGCCAATCTTAACCACCTTGGTGAACCAGCAATCAACCGTGGACGATTGTTGACTTCTAGAACCTCTTAAATCTTTTGATATCGTTTTGACAATTCCCAAGAACTCCACCATGGCAAGAAACCTCTTGCCTCAATGCACTTCGGGTGAGGAGGTGCTCCACGCAAAGCTAAAATTGGGTAACTGGGATCTCTTGTGTAGAAACGAGATCCCCATGTCAAATTCCTTGCTTCTTGTCTACATAGACCTATGCATTCTTGAAATACATTGATATGCAAACTGCACACCAACCCTTCTTCTATAACCCACATGCAGCCGCTAACTTTACTCTTGGATTTGTGGACCAATTCCTTCCCGAAATCCTTCTCTTTCATCGGTGCATGGTTTGGACATGTAATGGGCTCCTATTGGACCCCTTGGTACAACAACCCCAATTTATTACACCAATTATTTTAGTTATTTTAATATGGTTAGAGTTCAGCGTACAACATGTACAATATAACAGAACTGCTACTCTCCCTATAAAAATTTGAAAGATAACACTAAACAAGAGAAATAATAATGTAAAGCAAACAATTAGTTTTCTAGTGACAAGAAAAACAGATAAAATTGAGTAATGCTATAGGTACTCTTACCACATTTTTTACCACAATTCTATACCACTTGATGTGACATATTACTTGGACATGCCATGTCATTTAATTTCATTTTAATTTTCTTAATTTTTTTAATTAAAAACCCTATTAGATCTTACGTTTTATTCCCATCTCTTTATTCTCTCTCCCATCGTGTCGGCCTCCTCCCTTCTTGTCCTTCCGGCCATTCTCCGTTCTCCATTATTTTAGTTGATTCTTATTTGATTTCTAGCAAACCATCTTTTCTTTCCTTTTTACTTTTATAAAGAATGATTTTATCTAATTGTTTCATTGAAAATTAAAGGAGTCGAAAGGGCCATTGTTCATGGCAGAAAGTTCTCATATCTATCTACGATGATTGGTCTTTTCCTATCAATTGCATTGACCCTGCTGTGTTTATATTTATTTATTTTAAATTTACTCTTTTGTATCTTTTGTGACGTTTTTTCCAGTTGTTCTGGAAAGGAGGAGGGAGGGAGGATGGAGGGTTTAGAGGGACTTTCAAGAGGGGGGAGGAAATTGATTGGGGGAGAGGAAGAGTGGTGCAGGAGGAGGACACATGAATATGAGAAGTCTGCTAAAGTTTATTATTATTTATAATTATTAAATATATTAACTGAAATGAATGAAAAATAAGATAACTTAAAAATGAAATTAAATGACCTGGCATGTCCAAGTAAGGTGTCACATCATATGGATTAAAATTGTGGTACGTGGCTTGCCACCAGTTGTCCCCCTTTAAAAAAAAAAAAAAAAAAAAAAAAAAAAAAAAAAAAAAAAAAAAAAAAAAAAAAAAAAAAAAAAAAAAAAAAAAAAAAAAAAAAAAAAAAAAAAAAAAAAAAAAAAAAAAAAAAATCCCCCTTTAAAAAAAAAAAAAAAAAAAAAAAAAAAAAAAATTGTGGTATAAAAATGTGATAAGAGTAGCATTATTCTTAAAATTAACGGCTATTACAATTGATCGAATAACTACAAGTCAATGGTCGCATCATATTGTCAGTTAATGTTGTTTAGAAAGAAAAAAAAATCGATAAAGTTGCACAAGAGTTATAGTAATTTTGCCTGGAAATAGGTAAATACCGTTTGGAAAACAAAAAAACAAAAAGTTGGTTTTTGCGTGGAAAACAAAGAATGAGATTGAATGGGGTGGCTTGCATTTCGCATACTGTCTCTCTTCCAACAGAAAGCCAAAAGTGGGCAATGCATGCACAGCAGAGACCTTGTCAATGGAAATTAAAAAAAAAATCTCTCCATTCCTGTTAACTCTTTCTTTTCTATATCAGTCATGTCATCCTCGTCTTCCCTCTCTGGCCGTGCAATCTCTGAGATTAATCCGGGCCATATATATGCTTACCACTTTTATCTCCTACCCTCTACATTCTTTTTTTTTTTTTCCGATACAAAGCAAGTCTAAAGCCGGAAGAAGGGCGGGGGAGGGCGATAGTTGAACTCTGACCATGGATGTGGGGGTGTAGTGCTCAAAATCACTGAAGTTATTAGCCCCACTTAACCCCCTACATTCTTGTCAAAAGGTATTCTCACCTACATAAATTTTTCCCCTTTCAAATTTGGTAATATTGATCAGGTTCCTTATTAATTTGATTCTAATTACTTCCATGCATGCTACTTACCTGGTTGTTTCTGCCTTTGGCTTTTTCTTGAATGTCTGTTTTTTGTAATCTTTGATTTGTGTTTTGTTTTGGTATGTACAAGGTTATAGGTGGAGGCATATATCTCCCGAGGGCTCTAGTTTTGAGCACCTTATGATACATAAGTGCTTGACTCTCCTATCCTCTGGCGGTCTCAAAACACCTGGGCAACCTTGTGAGATATATTAATCGCGTTCGATCGACAATATGTCTGGATCTGATGTTGACCGAAACCTTAAACCTGGTAAGTTATGACATCCAATACTTGTCTCTCTACATATGTTCTTCCTCAATCTTTGGAATGATCTTCATGATTTTTAGGTTTTTATATGAAATCCCACATATAATTCTAATGATTGTTATGAAATGAATATGTAGTTTGATGGTCATGTATGTGATCTTCTGAAATTGAATTTATCAACATTTTTGAGTTCTTAGGTTTCCCATGTCGATAAGGAATATGCATATAAATACACAAAATTTCAATACAATATTACATTATAGGTTTAGGGTTTGCCCTTTTTCGGGTCAGAGGTTTAGGGGTTTGCCTAGAGCAGAAAAACACAAACAAGCAATATAGATTAGCTTACGTACATGCTTTAAGTCCTCTTAATCTATTTCTTATGGTTAAATGAGAGATAATGTAGTTAAGGGATAGAGTAAGTTCTCCACTCATGGTTGTCATGCAATCTCTCCCTTACACCAACCTGGTTATTAGGTTAAAAGAAAGACACAATTAGGATCAAGAATATGATGATTCAAGTGGTTGATAGTCTGTGCGATGAAGTATTTTCCACTACCGATTAGCATATAGAGCATATGCTAATCGAGTTCTAGTCCCACTATTTAGAATTTGAGTCCAATCATTACAGCATCCTCAATGCATATGTAAATGGGGACGGAGATGTGACTGATTTTCATCCCCAATGGCTTTTGTTCACTCCAATGGACCGGGGAAATGGAATTGTAAAACTCCCACCTCATCAATAGATTAAAAAAGTGATGGAAGGATGCAACTTATTTTACATCCCCAATTGGAGGGCCACATACCGAGAAAAAGAGAGAGTGCGGAATTTTGCACATGAGAGCAAAACATGGAGGTGAATGTGGAGTAAGAAATAAGTTCAGAACATCTTCAATGTGTATGTGTAAAATTGGGGATGTAAATATGATTTACGTTCCCCACTAATGCAACTTCTGTAAATCTGATTTGCATCACTTTTACATCTCCACAATGGAAATTACATTTCCAACTTTTAATCTTCCCATTAGGGTAAAAAAATATATTTATATCAATAAGAGATGTAAATGGAGATATAAATTTTAGGCTAAATTGTAGCAATGGTTCCTCAAATAAGTCCCGACTTTTCTTTTCATCCCTTATGTCGCAAAATTGTTATGGTCATCCTTCAATTAGATCTCGTGTTGCATTATTGGTCTTTTCGTCAATAGAGTTAATTTTTTTTGTCAAAATTAAGGGCAAATTGGGAAATCCCATATAAAATATTTATTAGATAAATAAACCCAGTCTCCCCATTTGAGCATGTGGGGAAGAAGGGTTTGGTGATTGGGGAAGTTGATTTTAGTAGCAAGTTGATTTTTGGAGAATATAAGGAGCTCTTGAGCCACCCAAAGTTGAGCTACACCTCATTAGTTGGAGGCAAAGAAAACCCTGCTGATGTGTCCAGATAAAATTCATCATGGTTTGGAGGGGAAGTGGTTGACATACCAGAGGAGACTTGGAATTTGTCACCAGAAGGTGCCGAAGGCTTTGGCCCATCTGGGATGGTTTGGGTTGCTGGGTTGGTGAGGTAGATGGATAGGCAGATTTGGGGGAAAGAGGATGGCGTGTGGTTGGGTTTAGGTAGAAGCAGGTGGTGGCTAGGTAAAAGTCTTAGTTACACTTAAAATATCTATCATGTGCTTGACATGTGATCAATTTTGACGGAAAAACAAACAGAATTGATGGAAATGACTAGTGGTGCAACGCGAGATCTAATTGAAGTACGACCATAACAATTTTGCAACATAATGAACGAAAAGTAAAGTTGAGTCTTAGTCGATGGGTCATTGCTACAATTTAGTCTAAATTTTATAATGTATCACAAAAATGTGTATTAAAAAAACAATAATTTCAAAGAATATGACTTTACAGGTAGATATTTGCTTCTAAACAGGCCGCCCTAACAATACCAAGGAATCAAAAAACGATATTCGCTGTTTGATTGAGCTTGCCGCTAGCGTTCGAAATAAGAAACATAAAAATAAAAAACGATCCTAATTCGCGCGCGTGGGATTGGGTGCCCTTCGCTGCCATTTCCATGCGCCAGGAGCGGCCCAGGCAACCCACGAGCCACCATCGTGGCCTTTGCGGCCGCCAGACAACCTCTAATGGAGGAAATTGTGTTGCCCGCCATTTCTTGTGGTTAAGAGATAGAGTGCTCTCGGGCCTTTTGGGATCTGCCAAGCATGTTTTGGGGTCATGGGTTCAGATTTTTGGTTTCAGCCCAATACATTTTTGACAGAAGAAGATCAAAAATTGTTTCTCTTAATCAAATCTCAACACAACTGGGTGAGTTGCAGGCAGAGATGTCATTCTTTTCTTCATATTTGTAGAGAAAAATTGTTCAAGAATATACCCATTACTTTAAAAGTAGATATTTCCTTCTAAATAGACGTAACAGTACAAAGTACCCTACAAAAAGGATATTCTTTTGTTGAATTTGTTTAGCTAACATTCATGGTCTCAGTTTTGGTTTGTTGGGTTTTCTTTTTCCAATTCAAATCACTCATTTTCATTTTGTTCTTGATTGCATTTTGATTTCATAATATCTAAGAGAAAATGGAAAAGTAAAAGCCTTGTGTTTGTGGGTCTATTTATTTCACTTATTCTGTGTGTAGATGAAAACTCTGAGGATGAGAGGAAAACAAAGCTTGGGTCTTTTAAGAAGGCAGCCAACATGATTACA